GATTTCATAATCGCGCAATAAAATTGTCTGCGATTTTTTTGCGTAACTTGTCAGTGTAGTAAATTCTGCTCCACCTGAAAGCACGTGATGATGATTTCCTGCTGATTACAGAACCGGCTTTACTAACAAAATGCGCATGACAATCGCATTCGATTAATCGTGCAGCCCTAACACACACACACACACACACCAGTATGCAGAGAGACATTTAAGAGGGTTTATTCTCCAAATAACTTTAAATTCATGTTGCTGAAAAATGTGTTAATAAATGTTATGTGTATGGACTCTTGTTTTTGTTCCACGTTAGCTTCCTGCCCACTAATTTTTGCCTCTTACAGAAGCCACAAAGCCTTCTAAGAAGACAGTAAAGGCTTATGTCATGCCTGAGCTGTAGTTAGGCTGAAACTTGAAAGTTAAGTTGCACAATGTTTAGGTTTTATTATTATTGTTTTTATTACTATTATTCTGATTTATGTCTTAGTTTTTGGTTGTACTATGTTTACCTTTTTTAAAAGTAATTTGAAATTGATTTTTATATTTTTATATATTTGTATTTGCATTTTGAATGTAATATGGCAATTAAATGCACTAAATGGGATTAGTTTTCAGTTATTAATATATGCAATTTCAGCAATAAAAATGTTAATTTTTCTAAAAAGGAAACAAATTACTTCTTCATTTTAAGAGCCCTGTCTTATTTTCTCTTGTATATTTAGTATTGCTCTTTAATTAAAAGTTCTTCTTATCCGATTACTCGATTAATCGATGGAATTTTCGGTAGAATACTCGATTACTAAAATACTCGATAGCTTCAGCCCTAGTCAACTGTAGTTGTTTTTAATTGTGCTTTATAAATAAATTGAGACTTGAGACCTTAATCAATAATAGCAATAAACAAAGCACTGCATACTAGATATGATATGAATGCATCCTCAATGGATGAAAAGACACAAATGGATGAGAATCACAGTGTCAAAGTTTTGGACTTCACTAACAGATTTTGCTGGTCTGCCTCCAAATCATGAGATTTTTTCAAAGTGTGGAGAACAGACCACTTGAGAATTACAAGCCTATCAATGCCCGTATCAGTCTCCAATTCCAACAGGAACTTTGACGACACCTGTGCGGTTGATAATGGAGCGGGGAAGCGGTGTAGAAGGTCAGAGATCTCTGTTGCACACCACCCCCTCTCCCATCCAGGGTCAGCACTGCTGTTAATGCAAATGGAAAAGAAAGTCAGAGCAGGTAATGCAAGAACTATTGGAAAGACGGCTGTGCTTTCCTTCAGAAAATGCACTTAAAACGATCAATGGCAGCCTGACTGGCTGTAAAAGGATACAAGTCCAGAGCTGATGAGCAATATACAATCAGCTCAGCAG